TTGGCTTCGGTTGTAGATAGTGCAACCGAATTTTGTTTCTTGGAAGTCCAAGAAACAAGTGCATGTCCTAAAAATTGACATGTTCTTGAAGTACTTTTTCTATCTAATCTACATCCAGTAAAATCCGTATCAGCATAATTAATTAGCTTAAAGTTTTCAGATTTTAGATACCATAATCCTAGATTTATGGTTCCTTTAAGATATCTAAGTATTCTCTTAACTGCTTTAAGATAAGATATCTTAGGATTAGATTGAAACCTAGCAAAAAGTCCTACACTAAACATGATATCCGATCTAGTTGCAGTGAGGTAAAGTAAACTTTCTATCATACCCCTATAAGCTTTTTGATCAAAGTTTTCTCTACTTTCATCAACTTTTAACTTAGTGAAGGTGCTCATAGGAGTGTTGATACCCTTTTAGCTATCAATATTAAACATTTTTAGCAAATCTAAGGCATATTTTATTTGACTAAGAAATATACCATTACTTGGTTGTTTGATTTGTAAGCCCATAAAGAAAGTTAATTCCCCCATCAAACTCATTTCAAATTCAAGACTCATACTTTGAGCAAATGATTAACAAAGAGATTCATTCATAGAACTGAAAATGATATCATCAACATAAATTTGAACAATAAGAAAATTATTTTTAAAATTTTTGATAAACAATGTAGTATCGACCTTGCCTTTAGAGAAATTATTTTCAATAAGAAATGAACTAAGTCTCTCATACCAAGCCCTTGAGGCTTGTTTTAAACCATAGAGAGCTTTAGTTAGTTTAAACACATAATTAGGGAGACTATCATTCTCAAATCCGGGAGGTTGTTCAACATAAACTTCTTCGGAAATAAAGCCATTAAGAAAAGCACTTTTAATATCCATTTGAAACAACTTAAAATTATTACTACTAGCATAGGCAAGGAGCATCCTTATGGCTTCTAATTGAGCCATAGGAGCGAAGGTTTCTTTGTAATTGATACCTTCTTCTTGGTTGAAACCTTTGACTACTAATCTAGCCTTGTTTCTAACCACGATACCGGATTCATCTTGCTTGTTTCTAAAGACCCATTTAGTACCAATAACTAAATGGTCATTTGGCCTAGGAACAAGCTTCCACACCTCATTACTCTCAAATTGATTTAACTCATCTTGCGTGGTGATAATCCATGAATCATCTTTCATGGCTTCGTCAATACATTTAGGTTCAATTTGGGAGAGAAAAGCGGCATTGGCACAAAAATTCTTAAGAGAAGAACGAGTTTGAACCCCTTTAGATGTGTCTCCTATGATTAGCTCCTTAGGATGAGCATCTACATACTTTCAATCCTTGGGTAAGGATGTTTCGGAAGTAGATGTATCGAAGTTGCTAGATGGAGAAAGGGTTTCATTTAAATTTAAAGCATGAAAATTAACATCATCATCAAAATCATTTTTCTTAATTTCAGAAACCTCATTAAAAATAACATGAATGGATTTTTCTACAATCAAAGTTCTTTTATTAAAGAAACGAAATACTTTAGAAGTAGAAGAATAGCCAAGAAAAATTCCTTCATCAGATTTAGCATCAAATTTTTCCAAAGCATCTTTTTCATTCAAGGTAAAACACTTATATCCAAAAACTTTAAAATATGAAACATTAGGTTTTTTGTTGTTCCACAACTCATAAGGAGTTTTGGAAAGTAAAGGTCTTACTAGAACCCTATTCATGACATAGCATGTCGTATTTACAGCTTCGGCCCAAAAATATTTAGGTAGGCTATGTTCATTTAACATAGTTCTAGCCATTTTTTGTATGTTTTTATTCTTTCTTTCTACTACTCCATTTTGTTAAGGATTTCTTAGAGTAGAGAAGTTGTGGTTATATCCAATAGATTCATAAAATTCTTGAAAATCATGGTTTTGAAATTCACCATCATGATTACTTCGAATTGATGAAATCATAAAACCTTTTTCATTTTGAACAAGTTTACAAAACTTAGAGAAATACCTAAAGCAATCATTTTTGTGTGCTAAGAAGTAAGTTCATGTGTATCTATTATAATCATCCATGATGATAAATATTAATTAAAAGTTTATCTGGTCATCTCGTTGTCCATCTCGAGTGACTTATGACCGGGATTTTTTAGGGTCTATGTTTAAAGGCGAATCGGTCTCATTTCGTGATCTCATTACAATCCGATTCTCATTGCGTAGATCCATGTGCATAACAATCCGATTCTCATTACATAGATCCATTCAATGACTTGGAGCCACGACAAGCAGTGGAACTACTAGGACTGGCGATGGAATCGCTTGAAGCTCGACCTCCCAAGTACTGACTAGGTGGTGGTACCATCGGTAGGTAATGCTATTAAGTGGTGGTATCGTCAGAGCCCAATCTCTGAGACTCTATCAGGCTATCGTACTGCTCAAACCAGCGATAGTATCGCCAAAGTAGGGTTGTCAGGCGATGGTACCGCCCAATAATGGTAGTGGTACCGTTAGTAACCCGGAAACTCGAGATAAGATACTTTTTTACTTCATTTTTAAAGCTATTTGAGGTCTATAAATATCCTAATTTTTTTTGCTTGCCTAAGCACGAAAAGTGAATAAAAAAATTATGATATAAGTGAGAAAACGCTATTATAATTCCTTAAGAGTTTCTTTCCTCTTTCCTAAGTGTAATTTCTGTTCAAGGGAGGGCT